ATTCAAAAAATTGATATTGGCTCTTATATATCGCATAATAACAAGCATCATTTTGACATACAGCTGCCGCTTGAAATCCAGATATTCCAATGAAATTTAGTCGTTTTCCATATCGATCATCGGTTTTCGTTCCACAAAAAATGCCCCCTCACGACGGAACAATTTCAGTTTGATCATATCTTCCGGTGGAATGATCGTTTCACCATTATCAATCAGTTTGCAAACAATATCATATCTGCACTGCCGCCCCTCAGCTGCTGTCTCAATCTCTCGCTTCATTACATTATCCAAAAAGCTTAAAAAATTTTAGGATCAGTACCAGACTGTCAATTATAGCTGTTTCAAGTATTCTAGGTAATTTGCTGCACTGTTGCCCTTCAGCTGCTTCTCAATCCTTCGTTTCACAACTTAAAAAATTTTGCGATTTTTTAAACTATCCGATACACTAACAGTCATTGCAGCAGCACCCCTATGCAAATTCTACAGCTTATTCATGGTAAGAAAGCTTGAAAAACCTGAATACGAGTGTAAGAACATATTAAATGCCCTCCCCCCCATCCCTTCTCCAACAGTGCGGCTTTGCAATTACAAAATACCGTAAAAATGCTCGAAAAAGAACGGTGTTAAAAAAATGTGCACAAACTTTGAGGTGCGACAGAGTGTTCCAATCGCCCATTTATATCCAATCAGCTCAAATACCAATCGCAACGATGCCATCCGAAGATCGGGAAATGGTCTGATGAGGTATGCAACAATCATGGATGAGAATGGATCACCAAGCCATTTATACCATTTGTTTGCAATCGCTTCCGTTTCGTGATCCTACGCACACAGATTTATTATGGACTCGGCAAATTACAACACGCTACTAGAATCGTTCGGAATTTAAGATAAATGTCGGAAATACATAAGTTTTCGCTTACTACTACTGATTAAGATATAGTATGTAACATTCTATATAGAGAATGGCCCAGCACAGTAAGCCGACTGTAGCAACCAGGTTAACCCTGGAGCCCCAAATGGCGAAGGCGCGATAGATTACAGCATGAAAGAACAGTATGAGAAAAGAAGGTAAGGCTGAGACAAGACATTTCGATCAATTAAGTCATATACGTCTTAGCTCAACACTGCGCCAGGACCTCGTCAGCATGACGGTCGCAGTGCACGTGACACATGAAGAGAACCTCTTCAGACTGCTCATTATTTCGCGTTCC